ATCACTATAAATGTCCGTTTCACTTTTCAAACTGTTACCAACAAATGTTAGAGTCCTGCATTATATTTGAAGAAATTAAATAATGAAAAATCTGCATAAATGTACGTCTATTTCTCGCATTGTGATAAAACAACGGTACATAGAACCATCGAATTTTGAATGACGTATCTTCCTACGAATATGGGCATGTGGAAGACCCAATTTGAAATTTGGAATTTGTTTTTATGATCGATTTCATATATTGTAAAACTTTAATGAATTTTTGGGTAACAAATTCAACGATTTAAAAGCAAGCAATGGCAACACTCTACGGAGGGAAAAAACCTTTTTATCTCCAGCGCGCGGAACTGTGTATCGAAAATTCTAAAGATACGGTCAATTTAAAATTATTTTGCGACATTGCTATTGAACTTAATTTTATGGTTTAAGTGCAAAGAACATGATATTTAATAAACAAAAGGTAGCACATAAAACGTTAAAAAAATCCCCTTTGGACGTAATTTAAAATTGGAAACTTTTCAGACTTTTTTTTTTCAATATTGCTGTTGAACTGAATTTTCTGACGTTTATGCTGTTTTTAAATACTTTTAGCCCAAAGGGATGTTAGTACAAATGCTCTCGAAACGTGTATGTGTGTAAATGAAAAAAAAAAAAAAAAAAAAACGGGCGTAATATAAAATCTGAAGATTCGTTCAGATTTTTTTTTTTAATGTGCTGTGTAATGGAAAATATTAGCATTTAGTCTGAGCAATGTGCGTTATGTATTCTAGCAGGAATGTCATGAATATTAATTACTTATCGTTTTCTTTTTTCTTTTAAATATGCTGTGTAATGGAAAATATCAGAATTTAGTTTGAGCAATGTGCGTTATGTATTCTAGCAAGGAATGTCATGAAATGTAGTACAGTTTAATGTAGTATGAATGAAATGTAGTAGAGTTTGAATGTCATGAAATGTAGTAGAGAGAGGGGGGAAAAGGAAACTGTAAAATTCAGAATTCAGTTACTCTATAGAGACATTAGGTTATTTTGAAGCAGAACACATGAAAATATGCAATGCCCTCGCCGGGACTCGAAGCCTGGACCTTTACAATACGCGCCGAGTGTGCTAACCGTTACACCACGAAGGCTGGCTAGAAGTTGGGAGAAAATACTTTATATGCTCTCCTCTCAAAGGGCGACTGGTGACTAGGGAAACCAATCATCATTCTCCACCTTTTAGTTCGGGCGCCACTGTAGAGTCGTTACTTTATTTTGCAGCAGCAAACATGAAAAATAAGCAAGCACGGTGACAGCATCACCGTGACTCGAACCTAGAGCTCTAGATAAGCGCCAAGTGCGTTACCATTACCCACGAAGGCATGGAGAAAGGAGGGAGAAAATACCTTATAACGCTCGGATAGAAAACAGCAAAATCCAAGTGAAGTATAATACTAAATTTAAATTTAAAGTAAATATCCACAGGCAGTCTTATTTATATGAATGAAATTGTAAAGGTAAACGGTATGTATGTTTTAGCCATCAGTCTAAAATATTTTCTCTTATTTGGTGAACAAACTGTTTCCAGCAAACCTCTAAACCAAAATTTTTTCCAGAACTTCAATTATACAACAGTTAACAATGCTAAAATTTTCTCTAGTTAGTAATGCTAAAACTTTTAATGGTTAATAATATGTATAAATATTAATTACTCATCGGTTTAAGCCAGGAAACTATTCATGTTCAGTTTTAGTAGAAACAAAAGAAAACTACGATGCATTTGGACATCATAATATTATAATGTGTGCTCTTGTAAGCATACAGACAAGTAAACATATATTTTTTTTTTCCTTTTGAGCCAAATAAAGGAATTATTGCAATGACATCATGTGTTAGTCCATAATAAATCAGGATAATAAAGTCTGCTTTATCATTTTAACTATATGGCACTTTCCTTCCCAAAATATATTTCTCAAGATTCTCTATCTCAGGATTCTGTGTGTGTTAAGATTTAGTACTATTTGATTATCACATCCCATAATCATCCATTCTTATGATTAAGTATCTCTTGATATGTTGAATTGAGTATTCCACATCACTTCACTGTAATTGCAGGAATGATTTAGTTACCGTTTTAATAGCCAGTCTGATGAGATAAGGGTATCTGAATTAGTCGTATTTACTGAGGTAGTAGAATACCGTCGCCCTGAAGAGAACATTTGTATATTTAGGAAAACACAAGTATGTGAATGGGAATTGGAAATCATCATTCTAGTGTCAAACTTTGGTAATGGTAATGTATCATAAATTATGGTCATTTGCTGTACGTTTATCAAATAAAGGGTTCATTTTCTGGGATTATAACATCCGAGAAATGTTCATAATAACTCTTAAATGGTACCTTATAGGATTAACTGACACCACATTAGTTAGCATCCATGGAGTTTCTAACTATAAACACTTTAGTTTTATATATAGTAGGTATTGCTTAATGTTATCACGTATGCCCATGACTATTTTATAACGTAGCCGCCCAGACGAAAACGTCGTTAGTGATTGTGACTGCCGCACCGAAGAGCTTGAGTTCGAGTCCAGGGAAGACATGGATATAAACTGTCCGTCCCTTCTTAGCAGGTGGGCTACCTGTTAGGTGCCTCCATGATAAAGAGACCACCGCTTCTGGTCTTAGTGATGGCCAACGCCTATAAACGGCTAGATCCCACCATCCCCAATGGGGGGCGGTTATATAACATTAGCCAAATGATAATAATAAGGGATGGATAATTCAGAGATGAAACTGCTTGGATTGCTGAAACGGAATCAAACAGTATAATGGCTTTCTCAGAATCTTCCACTCTTGTCAATATTCGTTGATTAGCCAATCTAATAGCTTCGACTTCACCGTCAAACGGCTTGGTGTTTAGCCTTAAAATTGTATAGAATGCAAACATTTCCGAAAATGTCCCAGCACCTACATTTTCTTAATGATCCAACCAAGATCCCTCAATATGCACATGTAGCTTCTCAGGCCTTGAGCTCCGCGAATTGTAGTAGATTTAGCATTACCCAGGGATCACCACGAGGAGACCTAGTACACTAAGCAATAAAATTTACACTCTTGAATGGATTCCTGATTTTCCAAGACGGCAAGCTGTTGCTGCCTTCAGGCTAAAAACAGGCCATGACTGCTTTGCTGGTTATCTGCACAGATTCGGAATACTGTCCATCCCAAATTTTATCTTGCAGCAGTGACCATGTGATGGACGCTGAGCATCTCGGAGTATGCCCAGCTGTCTCAGGAAATATTTACGATAGATATTAAAACGCAAGAGAACCGCTACAATTTTCGCAGACTAATTGACTTATGTTATCGATATAGTTTAGGTCCATTTTTTGATGGTTCTACTTCCGTTTTGTATGTTTTGGGTTAGTTGTTTCTCCTTATATGTCTGCTCTTAGTATTTTCTCTCCGTCGAATGATGTACATAAGTGTTACTGCTAGAAATTAAAAAAAAATAATAATAATTAAGCGATAGGAAAAGTATTTTTCGAAGTATGGATAGAATTTAATACGTAAAATATCAATATATATTTTTCCAATGGCATATTGTGAACAATTACAGTTGTAACAGAGACCATTAATCTATACTAAGGCCAGATATGGTGGTCTATTTATTATGGAGGCACCTAATAGGTGGGCCACCATTGCCTCCTATGAAGAGACGGACAGTTATAACCATGCCTTCTCCAGAATTCGAACCCAGGCCCTTCGGTATCGCAGTCAGGCTGTAAAATATCAATATAACTAGAAACATATAAGTACCTAATTTCACAGGATTTTAGTCAGAAAAGCAATCATTATCAGTTGATTGTCTGGGATTCTAATGCAAAACCTCATTTTCTTTAAATGTTTATAAAGGTTTTGGAAATTATTTTTCCGTTATATAGTTAAAGTTATATAGAAATAATTATAAAATTTTAAATAAGGAAAATAATCTAAAAAGGTCACTTCGAAAAATTAACATATCTATTCATTAAGTACATTATTCATATCTCGTCCTATAATAAGTAAATAATAATTAAAAAATATAAAATCTGAAAGCTTTCAGATTTTATATTACGCCCATAGGGGCATTTTTTTAACATTTTGTGTATTAGCTCTTTATTTATTAAATATCATGTTATTCGCACTTAAACTACATAAAATTTAATTCAACAGCAATGTCACAAAATATTTAAAAACAGCATACCTTTAGAATTTCCGACAGGCAGTCTTGCGCTGAGAAGACAAATTTTTTGTTCCTGTGTAGTGTTGCTATTGCTCGCTTTGAAATCTTTAAGTTTGTTAAAAAAATTAATTAAAATTTTACGATAATAAAACAAAGTCGAAATTTAAAATTCAGGCTTTCAGGTGGCCATGTTCGGGTGAGGATTACGTTATTCAAAATTTGATGGCTCTAGATACCGTTGTTTTTCCACAATGCGAGAAACATACCTACATTGCAGATTCTTCATTATTTAATTTCTTTCAAAATAATAATACAGGGCGATAATATTTGGTGGCAACAATCTTAATCAACAATTTTAATAATCATTGAAGGGTGCCTTCCTTTCTACTGCAATAACTCTCTCATATTTTCGATTAATATATTTAACCTAATGGTTGTTAATTCAGAGATTTTTTGAAACTATATTAATTTTTGTAAACATGGGAAGCCATTTAATGTCTTTCGTTAAATGATTCCACCTTATACAGTGAATCAGTGCAAAATCTCGTTTCGAGACTAATAACTCTTCTGAGCTAATGTTAGGCTAATAAAATAGGCCTTTTAGATTGATAAATTGGAAATTTTATGCAAATTGTTTTCCTCTGGATTTTAGGGACTTATCATAATGCCGTGGTTAATTTTGACATTCGAAAACAAAAATCATTTGCCTGGACTTTTTTTTCTGTGACTATGAAGAAAATTTGACTGGACATTCATTCATGTATCCTAAAATACATCTTGTTTCTATTTGCAGATACTAGACCAAAGGATTAAATACCTGCATTCATAAGGAAATTTAATCGATGAATTAATTCCAAGGTAACGATACCTTTTTATATCTTATCATCTGTTTATGGCAATCAAATAAATAATTTTAACTGAAAAATTAATCCAAATTAAAATTAAATGCATTTATTTTGTAACACACTTCATAATTTGTAATCCTTGAATTTCATAACAGTTAATTGCGATCGACAGATAATTTTATAAAAAATGGCAGAAATGTGTTCCATTAATAACAGAAAAAGCTTTCCAAACATGTCATAAATTATTTTCACTTTTATCCTTATTAATATATTATATTATGTGACCACATATGGAAGCAACATCAGTTTATAAAACGATTTAAGTTTCATAATTTATTTGTTTTCTTGATAGAGTTTAATGGCAAAAAAAAAGAATGCTTCATTTAGATCGAGTTGGTTCTGTTATCTCCATTGCCTTAATTTATAAGTGATAGCAAAATTTTATAAATAAGGACAAAAAAATATTCGTTATTTACATTTATGTTCATTTTATGGTAAGTTTTACTTTAAGTAAGAATTTTCTATTATTAAATGTTAAGAAAATCTTATATCATAAAATATTTCTACTCTATAATCGAATTTCTATTCTTCGCTATTCACCATTATGTGAAGAGCATTTATCCAAGTGAGGAGATTTTAAAATAAATCAACAAAAGTTACAGATAGCTTTTACCTGTAGTGTTTAGAAATATGCGAAATAAAGATGAATATGTGTTGCACTATATTTAACTACAGACAATAAAAGGGTGGGAGATTTAGAAAGTGCATTTAACATCAAACGTAGAATTGAAGTGGCACACACTTTCTAAGTTAATGTTAAAAATGTAAAGTTAAACGTTTACTGGAGAAATTCAGCACATTAGCTCTAAAATAAATAAGAATCTTTATCTTTAACTATATGAAAAATCATTATTGAAGAGTTATTTACATTGTTTGACATCATCATTGTTTGACATCATCATTTATTGACTACATTTTAGGCATTAGTTTTGATTATTTTCTTGTAAAAGGAAGTAGGAATAACAATATCGTTCACAAAAGCTTGGAGACTTCAGACATGAATCCACCTATTCATTGCATTAATACCCAGTGACCACACATCTAAAAATATGTTGCATCAGCCTTTCCCAATATCGGTGCAAAATGTTTTAATGCCTAAAATTTAATGCATTACATTTTTAAAAGGTGCTAAAGCTTGAAAAGCGCTTCAGCTGTCCCTATAAAATTTAATAATTTTAGCTATCCTGAACAAGAGAATGGATACATTTATTTACAGATGGCTGTAGAATGAATAATGCTTCTCTTGCAGGTGTATATTTTAAACCTTTTTCATAGCATGCTCCAGTGGGTCAACATTTTTCAAACTCTGATGAAGAAGTTCATGTGGTCTCTTTGCCTGTGTCTAATTTGAAATTTAGAATTAAGTTTAAATTAAGCGTCAAAAATAAAATGAGATATCAGGGAACTAAAAAAGAAAGGTAAAACTATACAATTTCGGTGGATACTATCCCATGTAGATAATGATGGTAATGAAAAAGCAGGTCTCTTGGCAAAAAGGGGTGTGGAGTAATTTATTGAACAAGGTTACATTCTTCTAGATTCCTTTAGAAGAAGTATTCGAGAGACTCTTCTGTCGGCTTACAACACACAGCCATCAATTCAATCGAATGACTGTGGGGGATTATCAGGAATGAATGGAATGAGTTCAGTCGCAGGCTACGTAGAGCGGCTGTGGCTAATTTCAGACTGGGTACTGGGCAGGGCTGCTTAACCGAGCATCTCAGCAGAATAGGCATACTGACTATTTGTAAAACAGACACTATGAATAAGAAGCCGTCTGTCCGGACCTTGACCGTAAGTTACAACAAAGCTATGATGTTCTCCTGCTGTACTGGATGGCTAGGGATTTTATGTCTTAAACTCAAGGTTGCTTCTCCTCTAATCACCGAGAATTTTTAAGATTTTTAATTGTGAAATTTTTATGTCTTAATTTATTGATAAAGACTTGATTTTTAATATCGTAATTTTTAAATATTCTTAATATTTTAATTATATAATTTTGAATTTAATGTTTTAATTTTTGGCGAGCGGCCTGATGTAAACGGATTTATTTCCGAATAAAACGATAAGAAAAAAACAACAACAAATTTTAATAATGTCATTACATTCATGAATTTTTAGATTAGTGATTATCCAAGGGAAATTTTCCTTTATTGCGTTTAATTTGATTCGAAAGGCTAAGAAAATGTAATTGCATTTTAACAGCTTTTATACAGTTATTGACTAATACTAAATGGATTACACCGCCTCTATGTTAAATTTTAGATCCATTAGTGAAGATTTTATATCATTGATCATTATTTAGATTATCATAGAGTTATTCGAAGGCCTTAATTATGCCAATATGCCAAATGTGATAAAACCTTTAATGATTGCGAGAAGTCTTTTAATGATTCTAACGTTTTATCGCAGTTTAATTGTCAAATTTTGATTTCTGTGTAAAGTAAAAGAAAATTTTGTCTCTTCAATCAGCTTTTAGGCAGATTCCAGAAAGACTTTTTAAAGCAGTATTATACGTCAGTGCAGTTATTATACGCTTCTGGCATGGATAATAAAAGATCAGGATGTACTTGCATTAGCTGGGTAATTAATCTATTACTTTACAACATATCAAAAATTATCTCATATAATGTCATTTTTCTAAACCTTTAAGATTAACTGAATACAAATTACCCCTTTAAAACCATCTGTATTTTGAGGAAACCTGCTGTAATTATTTATTAGCTTTAAGACTTTATCTTTTAATTTTTTGAGATGTGGTACCCGTGTTAGGGTTATTAGCGTCCGCAAGTATTTAAGAGTGATACAGTTTTAATAAGCCTACCATTCCAATGTAGTCTTGGTAATCCAAATGAAAGGTTGCTTTTCTTCTCTTCAATGCCTGCCTTTGTGTTGTAATTGGAAGTACGTCCGGCTAGCAGTCAGATAGTCCGGAATTTGAAACCCGATGAAGGTACTTCTGATTTTTCTGTTTCCTACTCTAATAAACTGATAACTCTACAGTGGTGTTTGAGTGCATTGGCCGATAATTAAGGATTTTGCAGTTACCTTTAACAATATGTGAGTGGAACCCAGAAGAGAGCTTTAAACAGGTATCCTGAAAGTTCAGTCTGAATTGAGCGTGATGTGCAAGCATACTTCTTCTTCGATAAGCGAGGAATTTTGTGTGTTGCGTCAGCAGCCAGAAGTTTTGACCAGTATTTTTTTGGATGCCAAAAGGCTGTTTGGTTACATTTAGCATGGAAAAAGTCACAGCGGAACATTATGCACAGTTTTTGGTAAATCTCCGCTAAAGAATTTAAAATAAATGAAGTGGTAAGCTCTCGAAAGGAATTCTTTATGACCGTCAAAATGTGCGCCACATACTTCTGCTAAGGTAATGGCCGCTGTACCTGCTTCAGGAATAGCAAATGCTATTTCATCCTTCATACTTGCTTTTAATGACTTTTCTATCTGAAACCTGAAGAAAGATTTTCATGGATGTGTTTCGCATATTATGATGGTGCTATGAATGCTTGAATGGTTGCTTTTTAGAATATAAGAAAGATTTTTTTTCTCCTAAGATTAAGTGCGTTACAAATCGCTGTGACAAATACTTTTGTGTTATATAAAAAAAGTAAAAGATATTTGATTTACTCTATTGTTTCTGATATCTCATTCTACGTAAATCTTGATTTCTTCGCAAAATCTTGACAGTGTAAAAAATAATGATATTAATAATGCTAATAAAATCATAAATTTAACTTTATAAAAACTATGAAATAAAAAATACATATTTGGGGAAAACAATTAATATTTTAATGTAAATTGTTTCCGTAGTTTTTATGTACAATTTCATTTTTTAGGTATATTTTCCTTTTAGTTTTAGGTAAATCTCATTTAATTTATGTTTTATTAATAAACAAATCTGAAGTGCACACCACATGGAATAATAAATTGTACGCATTCTTACAAGCATTTTATTTAAACTTGTTTTCTCGAATTTCATTAGAGATATATTTCTCATTCAATTCATTCAGTTTTCATTTCGCGGCAAGGCAAAAATACATAACTCAAAATATCTTCAATAAAAATTTAAAGATGTAGAAAAATATAAAACACCAAAGGTTAAAACAATTTAAAAAATTTACAATTAAAATTATACTTTCTAAACAAAAACAAGTAATTCGGCCAGCAGGCAAGAAGGCAGATTTTTTGGTGCACAAACTAAAAGTTTCGTTTTGGCCCCACTCGGAAAAGAGGCACTGAAGGTGCACATAGACTTAATTCACTATTCTGCTAAGTTTCAAATATACACAAATATGGCTGCTATGGCAAAAAATTAGGATTAACCGCACTTAAACAACTTTTAAATTATTGGTAATTCAACAACTATTGCATGCAGATTAACTAAAGGCATAAAATCTTAAAAGGAAAATAAAGAACAAAATAATTCAATCATTTTAAAGCAAAATATGTACGATTTACCAACATATAAGAATAAAAAACTGAGTTCACTGACACGAATACCATAGTGGGTATATATATATATATATGTAGAATCGGTACTTGCTGTATAGGAATATAATGTCTGTAAACTTACTTCTTTTGTGGCTGCCTAGGGACTAATAAACTAGTCCAATTTAGAAATAACTTGAATATTTAATGGAAACATGAATAGTTGCTACAAACTACAAAATGATTACATGTGTAGAAGGAGGAATTTACATGGATGATATTTACAGATGAAGAGAATCGACCGCCTTTTACATATAAACTTCTTTCAGTCGCATCATCGTCTTAATCGCGGAATCGTCTGACTTCTATCATCGGAAAAGTAAAAGATTTATTCTCACAGCTTGTCGCGTCATCCGATTATACGAGTAATGAACGATGCCATCCCACATATACATATACATATTTTTCGTAAGTAAAAGTAATGAGTAAATTAAAAAAGGCCTGTGACTTGTACTA